ATTTTCACAATAAAGATTGGTGGCAGCTGAATGAGAAACACCCATGTCAGAAAGAAGCCAACGATGCCACACAAGCCCTTGAGTAGTGTCAGCAAGAGCACGATACTCATCCTCGGTACTAGAATGAGCAACAAGGGTTTGCTTCTTGCTACGCTAGGAAATGAGAGAGTTTCCCAGAAGAAGCAGAACTCAATAGTGGAACGACGATCAGTAGGATTCCCTGTCCAATGGGCGTCAGAAAAGGCATGCAGCTGTAGAGAAGAGTGAGGGGAGTAGTGAAGACCATGAAACAGAGTTCCTTTAAGATAGCGCAAAATGCGAACCAGAGTAGCATAGTGTGGAGAGCAAGGAGCAGTCATAAACTGATTAACAATGTGAACAGCACAAGCAATATCTGGACGAGTGACTGTGAGATACACAAGACTACCAACTAGCTGACGATATAAAGTGGCATCTAACAATAGGGGGCCGTCAAGAGGTGTAAAACGAGTCTGAGGATCAATTGGAGTAGTGACAGTCTTGTAATCGGTAAGGCTAGTACGAGCCAAGAGATCAGAAGCATACTTGGCCTGGGTAAAAAAATAACCAGAGGAATCTTGAGAAATTTCTAAGCCAATGAAGTAGCTAAGTGCACCCAAATCTTTCATCTCAAACTGGCGATGAAGAAACTGTTTGAGACTAGAAATTCCCACTGTGTCATCTCTAGTGATAATCATATCATCCACATAGAGGAGAATGAGAGAAGGAGAGTAGTACCGTGATCCGTCTTACGGATAAACCAGGCAGAATCATGGGCACTGGAAGAAAAACCAAAGTCACGAATGGTAGAGCTGAACTTGGCAAACCAGGCACGTGGAGCTTGTTTCAAACCATACAAAGCACGGCGGAGTTTGCAAACCTTGTTTGAGGGAACAGAAGAACCATGAGGGGGTTGCATATAAACTTCCTCAGTGAGATCACCATTGAGAAATGCATTCTTGACATCCATCTGAGAAAGGTGCCAGTGGCGAGCAGCAACAATAGCAAGTAAGCTGCGAATTGAAGTAAGACGAGCAACAGGAGCAAATGTTTCCTCATAGTCAATCCCATATTCTTGACTAAATCCCTGGGCGACAAGGCGAGCTTTATAACGCTCAATGGAACAATCAGAATGAGTTTTGATCTTGTAAACCCATTTGCAACTAACAGTACGCTTTCCAGAAGAAAGATCAACCACATCCCAGGTATGAGTTTGATCGAAAGCCTGTAGTTCATCAGTCATAGCTTGTTGCCAAAGAGGGTTAGAAGAAGTTTCTTGATAAGAAGTAGGTTCATGAAAGAAAAAGGCAGTGGAACTAACAATATAATCACGGAGAAGAACAGAAGGTTGTCTTACTCTTGTAGAATGACGCTCAGGTGAAGGAGGAACCTCAATGGAAATAGGTTATGGAGGAACCTTCATCGGAGCTGGAGAAGGCGTAGGGCTATCAGCTAACACAAGATCCTCAAGATGGATGATAGGTGTAGGCAGCTGTGGAAGCATAGGGCCAGAATCTGCATCAAAGTCATCAGAAAATAGATCTATAGAAATATTAATGAAGGCCGATAAGTGGGTGAACTGTGGTATGTGAAACTTGGAAAGAGTAGAGAACAATTTGTGTTCCCAGAAAACCACATGACGGGAAATACGAAGACGCTTGGAGATAGGATCCCAACAACGATACCCTTTATGTTTGATACCATACCTCAGAAAACAACAAAAATGAGAACGAGGTTCGAGTTTAGTGTGTTCATGAGGCTGAAGTGGAACAAAACAAGCAGAACCAAAAACTTTAAGAGTGGTATAGTCAGGAGGAGAACCATATAAGCACTCGTAAGGTTCTGTGTTAGTTATTACAGGGGTGGGGACACGATTGATGGTGTGGATGGCAGTGAGGGCAGCTTTGCCCCAGAATTTTTCAGGACAAGAAGAAGAGAGCAGAAGAGCCCGAGTAGTGTCTAGAATATGACGGTGCTTTCTTTCGGCTCGTCCATTTTGTTGGGAAGTACCTGCACAAGATCGATGAGAGAGAGTACCATGAGCCTGAAGAAAAGAAAGAAAATCAGAATCCAAGTACTCGTTAGTGTTATCAGAATGAAAAAGCTTAATAGTATGAGAAAACTGAGTACGGACCATAGCAGAGAAATCATAATAAATCTGTTTAAGTTCAGAGCGGTTTTTAAGAAGAAAAAGCCAAGTATAGCCAGAAAAATCATCTACAAAAATCACAAAATATCTGGAACCCCCCATGGTAAGTGTGGGGGAAGGTCCCAAAATATCGGAATGCACAAGATCAAAAAGAGCAGTACAAATAGAATTACTTTTATTAAAAGGTAATGCAGGTTGTTTAGCAATTTGACAAGATAAACAATCGACATCTTCAAGACAGACACGACCTAACTAACCACTAGAAATTAAAATTTTCAAACGACTAAAAGAGACATGTCCTAAGCGACAATGCCAAAGATGAAAAGAAAACATAGTAGATGCAGTAGCAACAATAGAGGATTTGTGTGGACTGCGAAGATAGATAAGCTCGAACAGACGTCCATGCTTATGGCCTATCCCAAGGATCTATCTCGTCTGAGGGTCCTGCACCAAACAACAATTAGCAGAGAAGGTAATAGTTAGACCAAGTTCACATAACTGACCAACAGAGATAAGGTTCATTTTAAGAGAAGGAATATGGTAAGCATCAGAAAGAGACACAGTGGAAGTGGAGATTTGGCCAATATGACTAACAGGCATATGAGAACCATCAGCAGTATGTATAGTGGGAGTAGAAGAGGATGATGACAAAGAAGAAAATAGAGTGGAGTCAGAAGTCATTTAATTACAGCAGGCGGAATCAAAATACCATGAAGAGTTACCTGAGGTTACTGAAAGAGCAATAAAGGGAGGAGTACCAGATTTGTAGAGCACCTGGTGGATAATGGACTCAACATTATCCATAGAGAATGAAGAAGCAGAAGAACCCTCAGAGGCAACAGCAGCAGAATGAAAACCGTGACCAGATTTAGACTGAGACCCAGAACGAGAAGCCCCTTTCTTGGATGAAGTAATAGAGGGAGCTCGAGGACAAATGCTTTGGAGATGGCCTGGAGCAGTCTTGTGACAAGTCAAGCATTCGCGAACCTGGCAGTGAACAAGAGAATGATTGCGCGGGCAGGCCTCGATTATGACAATAACTACATATGATTGGCGGTGAAGATAAGGAACTCTGAGAATATGGCATAGCAAGAACAGAATCCATGTCTTGAGATTTGAGACTCGCAAAACAAGTCTCATCTAAGAGGAGTTCAGTAATGGCTTACTCTAAAGTGGGCAAGGGCAAACGATAGAGCAAAGAAGCACTTACAGGCTCACAAGTGCTATAAAGAGCCATAAGAAACTATAATAGTCGCTAATGATTTCGATAAGTAATAAATAGCTGTGCATCATCAGAATGAGCCCATGGAGGTTCAGAAAGAGCGAGCAGATCCCAAACAGACGACATATGGGATAGGAAGTCATTGAGAGACTGACCGGCTGCCTGGCGTATGTGATGAAGAGTCTGCAACAGTTGATACTGATGAGCATCTCTAGTGGTTTGATAATGT